CTAGTCATGTAGCAAAATGCATTACACAAGTGCCTACAGTATCCAGAACAGTGACATGCTGTTCTGGTTTGTAGCTTGAGAGCTGTAAAGGAACAGAATTTGTCACTCGCAAACATGTCTCTTTAGCATAAGGATTATTTTAGGCTGGTTAATTTTAAGAAACCCTCAGACTTGGAAGCAGCTCTGAAAACCAAGTAGAAGTTACTCTTTGTAAAAGGTATCTGTGCGTTAGGGACCAGTCCATTGGGGGTGTCTCCCTCAGAGCCAGGAAGAGGGGGAAGTGCCTTATCTCCAGGAAGTCCTATCACTGCAGAAGACCTAGACTGAAATTTGCCTAACAACCTTACCCCTTGTTTCCTGCCCTCCCCCCCCCCCCCCAACATCCTTTGTCTTCAGCTAAAGATGGTATTTAAGGTGATGGCTTCGGGCATTCTGAGTTACTCAGATTCCCTGGGTAGCTCCTAGCTCCCAAGTATGCATGTTATGAAATGGTCTTCTCTCGTTAATCTGTCTCTTGTGACAGGGATGTCACAGCCAAGAGAGTCCAGAAGGGTAGAGGGAAAGTTATTTTTCCTCCCCTACAGAGCTGTAGGCTGTCCTGACCCTTGGTAAGGAGTAGGCTATACCATACAGGTTTGTGTACCGTAAGCAAATTCTATGATATTTCCAGGACGACGAGATCGGCTAACAACCCGTGTTTCAGAATGTATCCCTGTCATTAACTGACACATGACCGCACCTAGTTCCTTAGTTTCCCTGTGGAGCAAAAGCATCCCTAGCCTCTTGCTTTTCATAGGCAATCTGCCTCTCTCAGGGGAGCTCTTTCTTAGAGGGGAGGATTGGCTGGAGGGAAGGGGCAGAAATCCTAATATGTGCCAAGCACTGATCTAAGTGTTTATCACATATTTCATTTACTCTCCATGGGTGAGTACAGTATGAGCCCCATTTTGCAGATGAGGAAACTAAGGCAAGAAAACGTTAGTTACTTGCCCAAATTTATACAGCTGAAAAAAATAGGATCTCAGCCAGGATTCCGAGATCCAAAGCCAGGCTTTCTGATTCCAACACTGGCTTGTGCCTCTTATTCATCGAGGAAGGAGGAGAGATAAACATTGATTTGTTGTCCTAGTTACATATGCATTCACTGGTTGCTTCTTGTGTGGGCCATAACATTTTCCACAACAACCCTGAGCGTGGCTTCCCTCGTTAAGGGTCAGGCACTGGGATCTAATTAGTAACATACGTTTATCCCATAGCATTTTTTTTTTTTTAATATATTTTATTGATTTTACACAGAGAGGAATTGAGAGGGACAGAGAGTTAGAAACATCGATGAGAGAGAATCATCGATCAGCTGCCTCTTGCACACCCCCTACTGGGGATGTGCCCCGCAACCAAGGTACATGCCCTTGACCGGAATCGAACCCGGGACCTTTCAGTCCGCAGGCCGACGCTCTATCCACTGAGCCAAACTGGTCCCGGCTATCCCTTAGCATTTTCCACAGCAACCCTAAGAGTTTGCTTTCTTCCCCATGTCACGGGTGGGGAGATTGGAGCCCAGAACTAGCTTGCCCAATATCACATCCCCAGAGCTATTCGTAGCTTGAGGCCCACAACTCGGCTCACAAAGTAGCTGAGGAAAACGCAAAAGGACTCCAGAATCCAGAAGGCAAGGCTGGCTTTATAATCTAGAATGTCCATCAGGCAGTAAGTTGGGGGGCAGTGCCGAAACTGGTTTGGCTCAGTGGATAGAGCGTCTGCCTGCAGACTGAAAGGTACCTTAGTTGTGGGCACATCCCCAGTAGAGGGTGTGCAAGAGGCAGCTGGTCGATGATTCTCTCTCATCGATGTTTCTAACTCTCCCTTTCTCTTCCTCTGTAAAAAAAAAAAAAAAAATCAATAAAATATATTTTAAAAAAAGAAAAGAAAAAAAAAAAGAATGATCTCCATGAAGCAACTGTAAAACACACAACCATTTAAAAAAAAATGGAGGGCAGTGAATCCTCAACTCCCACCCCATTACACACACACACACACACACACACACACACACACACACACACACACGCTCCCCTCTGGCAGACAGGTAGGATTATGGAGCTCAATATGCAGCTGGGTAGAAAGCTCATAAAATGTAAATGTGTTAGCTGGGGCAGAAACGGGGAGGGATAGAAGCTGGGGAAGGGATAGAAGGACGTTATTCACTAACGGGAATGCATTTCTCAGATCAGCGAGGCAGTATCAGGGGAGGGGTCTCCAAGCTGAGGGACCTGGGAGAGGATCCGCCCCCTAAGGGACACGCGATGGCCAGTAGCTGGGAAGGGGAAGATGGGTCCAGCAGGCGAGGAGGAAGGCCTCCCGCAGGCTGAGGCCAGGGTGTGCCAGGTCCCACCCTCAGGGGTGGGGCCAGGCTAAGCCCGTGGCCGCAGCTCCATCCCTCCAGAACCCAGGCGGGAGCAGAGCCTGGGCGGCAGGAGCCTGGGGCCCCGCTGTCCCAGAGTGGAGGCACCATGCCCTCCCCGGCTGGGACAGCAGACAGCTCCAGGGGTCCTGTGGGGCCAGCCGCTGCAGTTCCCTGACACAGGACAGCCCGGCCGACCAGCGCCTGTCTCCACTGCCATGTGAGTCGCTGCACCCCTCCCCGCCCCGGACCTCAGCCCCAGTCCTGAATAGCCGTCGCCACCAGAGCCAGCAGGGGCACACACCACTGGGAAACCGCTCCTGGGCTGGCCCTTCTCTTCTCGCGCTCTGGGGGAGGTGGGCTGGGGGCTCGCTCAGAAGGGCAAGAGCTCCAGCCCGGGATCCAGAGGCCGGATTGGAAGGAAGGTCCCCTGAGGCCTTGTGGGGTTTAATAAAGTTGACATGCAGGGACACAGGGGAACAGAAACTGGAGGGCTGCTGAGAAGGAAAGATGTCCGGAGTTGGGGGCAAAGAGGAGATTGAGGAAGAGAAAACGGGGGAGGGGGAGGGGTGCAGCAGCCTGGAGGCCCAGTGGGGCCCTCAGCTTCCCCTGAGTCCGGTGGCTGTGGGGAGGGTGCGGTAGAAACCCTTTCCTTATTGATTCTAATCGTAGCAACGGCAGCTGCTCCCGTGGACAGAAGCAGGGTCCCATAGTGCCCCGGACCCCTCTCTGTGCCCTGATGTGGCCGTGGGGCCGGGTGCTGGCAGGCTGCGAACGAGGAGCCGAGAAGGAAAGGACAGGGACAGCCAGCTGCGGAGGCGAGCCCTGCCCAGCAGCTCCTCTCCCCTCTCCTGGGGGTCGGCTTCAGCCTGAGTGTGGGGGGTGTCCTCCGTGCTGCTGGCATCTCCACATTCACTGCCAGTCCTCCCCCCCACCCCCGGCCCCACTCACTTCTACCCCCAGCAACTCCGCTCTCCCCTCCAGCTCCCAGGAAGGGGCCTGTTGCTAGTGGTGCAGATGAGCCAAGTTTATGGGCTGGAAGTCCTGTCCAGAGGATGCTCACTCATTTGTGACCAGCTGGCCTCAGGGCATACGGGGATGGCGGCGCAAGGGCAGGACAGCCCTCTTGCTGCCACCATTGTTCTGACCTCGCCACTCACTCTGATGCTCAGTGACCCCTCTCTGCCTCACTCCTGCCCCCACCCCAATCCCAATGCTCGGGTGCCAACCAGGCTTCGGGCATCTGAAGACAGGGACCTCTCTCCTTCACCTGAGCCCTCGCCCGGCGGAGGCTGTCAGCGCTGGCTGACCGCTACACCAGCCGCGCCGTCTTCCCTTTGGCTAGGGCCTGGGGCTGGGCGGGTCCATCTTCAGTCTGAACAGGCATAACTAACACAGCTGCCCAAGGAAGCCAGCAGATAACAGAAGTGGCCTGAGGGGAGTCCCCACTCCAGCTGGTCGCTACCATACAGGACATGGCTGTTGCCACAACTTATTTCTTGCTTTAAAAAAAAAAAAAAAAAAATTTATATATATATATATATATATATATATATATATATATATATATATATATATATTGATTTTAGAGAGGAAGGGAGAGGGGTAGAGAGATAGAACTATCAATGATGAGAATCATTGATCCGCTGCTTCCTGCTCACCCCCTACTGGGGATCAAGCCCACAACCCAGGCTGTGCCCTTGGCCGGAATCAAACCTGGAACCCTTCAGTCCCCAGACTGACCGCTCTATTTGCTTAAGAGAAGCCAGAGCCCAGTACCCCCCAGCTTCAGTCACGCCACTCTTTCTACCAGGAACTCCTCCCCCTACCTCACCTTGCTATTTATACTGTAATTTATTGGCCTCAGAAATGCTGCCTAACAGACCTCAATTGGGACACGGAGGCTCTCCAGCGCCCCCCCCCCCCCACTTGGCGGGCCCTGTGGGGCCAGGTGCTGAGGGAGTCTCTCTGTGCCCACCCATCACTTGCTTTCCCCCTCCCCCCTTGGGGGACCCCAGGTTGGGCACTGGCCCATTCATAAATACCTCGAGGGGGAGGGAGAGGGATGGGGTTATAGCTGTTTTGTTTAATTGGAACTGGAAGAGGGATCGTGTCCTTACGTTATGTCCTTCCCAGAAAGGGGGAGGGACACCGTGATCGCACTCCTGTACTGGCCACCGCCGCTGTCCGTCATCACGTTGAGTTCACTTCCCTCGAGAGTTTGGATAAATTCAGGTCAGAGCTGCAAGTTCGCAGCCCTCACATGTCATAGAAAAGCAATTCACCTACGACTGATCTCTCTGTTCAGAAGTGTGCAGTCTTAATGTACAGTGATGAGAAACTGTTATGATCTTTTCATTAAAAGCGTGATTGAAAACCAAAAAAAAAAAAGAGAGAAGCCAGAAATAGGAATTTTAATTGGCCGTTCATTGGAAAAATGCGTATACAGCCTACAGTCCATTGGACTGCAACCTCTAGATTAATAATAGGTCTTCCCGAGAGGACAGTGACCTATAGCCCCATGCTAACTCTGGCCACCCCATCTCCCATCCAGGCATGTCGGCCGCTGCTCCAGATTTTCCCTGTCCCCAGGCCCAAGATGACACCCAACAGCACCAGGGAGGTGCCCGGCGCTGTGCCCACGGGAGCCTTTGCGCTCTCCCTGGTCCTGGCGAGCCTCATCGTCGTGGCCAACCTGCTTCTGGCCCTGGGCATTGCCGGGGACCGCCGCCTGCGCAGCCTGCCTGCCGGCTGCTTCTTCCTGAGCCTGCTGCTCGCTGGGCTGCTCACAGGGCTGGCACTGCCCACACTGCCAGGCCTGTGGCGCCAGAGCCGCAGAGGCTACTGGTCCTGCCTCTTCCTCCACTTAGCTCCCAACTTCTCCTTCCTCTCCCTGCTCGCCAACCTGCTGCTGGTGCACGGGGAGCGCTACCTGGCCGTGCTGCGGCCGCTCCGGGCCCCCGGGAGCGCCCGGCTGGCCCTGCTCCTCACCTGGGCCGGCCCCCTGCTCTTCGCCAGCCTGCCCGCTCTGGGCTGGAACCACTGGGGCCCTGGCGCCAACTGCAGCTCCCAGGCCGTCTTCCCAGCCCCCTACCTCTACCTCGAAGTCTACGGGCTGCTGCTGCCTGCCGTGGGCGCCGCGGCCCTTCTCTCTGCCCGTGTGCTGCTCACTGCCCATCGCCAGCTGCAGGACATCCGCCGGCAGGAACGGGCCGTGTGCCGCGGGGTGCCCTCAGCCCTGGCCCGGGCCCTGGCCTGGAGGCAAGCGCGGGCCCAGGCCGGAGCCACGCTGCTCTTTGCGCTGTGCTGGGGACCCTACGTGGCCACCCTGCTCCTCTCGGTGCTGGCCTACGAGCAGCGCCCCCCGCTGGGGCCCGGAACTCTGCTGTCCCTGGTCTCGCTGGGCAGTGCCAGCGCAGCGGCCGTGCCCGTGGCCATGGGACTGAGTGATCACCGCTACACGGCTCCCTGGAGGGCAGCCGCCCGAAGGTGGCGCCGGGGGCTGCGGGGAAGAGCCTCGCGGAGCAGGCCTGGCCCCGGCACTGCCTACTGCACCAGCAGCCACAGCAGCATGGACCTGGACTTGAACTAGAAGCATCCATCCATCTCAGCCACGCCCGTCTCCACCTGTCTGCACACCTGTGGTCCGAGACCCTGCCCTTTTACTGGGGGAATAAAGCTCCTCTGGCCGAGTTATCGGTATCTCATTCTGTATCACAGAAGGGGAGAGGAAGGTAGAACAGCCGTGGAAAGAACCTAAAATAACGGAATCCAGGGAGATCCCAGCTCGGGACAGAGCAGCAATTGTAGGTGGGGCTGCACCATCGACGGGAAGGCGGGTTGAGGACTGAGAGTCCAGCACATGGGGGGCCTCACCCTGCTATGCCCCTCACCAGCTCTTCCTCAGGCCCAGCCCCCACAGAATCCACAGACATGGTCTCTGGGAAGTATATTTTATTTACATCTTTAAAATCTGTAACTAATCTCTCTCTTCCTCCTTTCCACCCCCAGAGACTTGGGAAGGGAAAGAACAGGCACCTCAAACACCTACTCCCCACATACAAATAGGCACCCCATGACTCACACCCACAAATGAAACGAAGGAGAAAGAGGTCTGAACCTCCCTCAGAGATCCCCGGGTTTGGGGGAGGGGCAGGGCCTGCGGGGTGAAGGGTGGGTCTCTTAAGAGAAGAAAGGGAGAGGGGGCACGTCAGTGTGAAGGGGTGGAAAGTAGTCCGAAGCCCCTCCCATCCTCTTCCTTCATACCCTCCGCCTCTGCCGGGGAGGGGCCTCCCTTCACCACCTCACACCGGACACAGCAGGGGCTGCAGCTAGCGGTCAGGTCTCTGGACACAAAACACTTTTGCTTTGTGGTCTCCTGAGGTGGTCACCACCAGGGAGGCATCTCTGTGGACAGAAGGAAGAGGCTCATAGGGATGGGGCCTGGGGGCTGGCTCAAGCCCATGACCCAGGAGCCAGGAGCCCCGGGGCCTCCCGAGCACATCAGTTCCATGCCCTCGGTGCCCAGCACCAGCGGACACACCCGTGTCCAGTGAACACACGTGAAGCCAGCAGTGAGCAAGGAAATGAGAGGAACATGGGGGAGGCAGAACCAGCCCCTCAGCCCCGGGGCTGACATGAGACCCAGCAAGTCACTGTCACCCAGAAGCGCAGCTCCCTCAGGCTTCCCGGCACTCCTGCCTCGAAAGCCAGGCCTTGGGTCCCGGCCTCCCACACACCGGGTCCCGGTGGCCCCCCACATGCTCTCCCCACCTCCGAACACAGAACCCCGGCCCTGCCCGGCTCACTCACTTGCTGAGGGCAAAGTCCAGGATCTCGGCCGTGTGGCCCCGGTAGTCGGTCAGCAGGCGGCCGGTCCGCGCGTCCCAGAGGCGCACGATGCCGTCCAGACTGCAGGTGTAGACCACGGCGGTGCCCGCCTCCCACAGCAGCTGCACGATGCCGGACTGCGGTGCGAGAGGCAAGGGGGCGTGAGAGGAGAGCGAGGAGCATCTCGGGGAGGGAGGTGGGAACACGGGCCATAGACAGGACCACGCAGGAGCCAGGTCGGGTGGATGCTGACAGTCCTGGGCCTCCCACAGGTGCCCGTACCTGGTGCTGACACTGGTGTCTGAGGGTCTGCGCAGACAGGTCATAGATGGCCAAGGTCCCATCCAGGTAGCCAACAGCTGCCAGAGGCATCCTGGGGGAGGGAGCACCACCAAGCTCACAGAGGCGCCTGGGCCCACGGGCCCTGTTCCTTCCTGGTCTCCCCGCCCAGGCCCCTCCCCAAGCTCAGTCCCTCTCTTCTCCAGGCGGCCTCCAGGCCAAAGCCTCAGCTCACACTCACACACTGCAGAAGCCCAAGGATTCCACTGAGTTGGACTCGCTCTCCTCCCCTTCTCCCAGGTTGGGCTGGGAGGCCACAGACTCAGGCCTGAAAACACCCACCACCTATGAGCCAGAGGAAAGTGTCAGAGAAGGTCCTAGAAACATGGTCCTCTCACAGAGAAGGAAGGTGGCGAGGAGGGAGGTTGAGTGAAGGATCAAAGGAGGGGAGAAGAGCGAAGGCTTCACAGCCAGGCTTCAGTTCCACTCACCTTGCCAGTAGTGGCACTGACCAACTTGGCCTGGCAATCCACAGAGCCAGTCAGAATCAGGCTGCCATCCTGGTTGGTGGCAACACAGGTCAGAGGGCCCTGGTGACCCTCAGTCCCTAGGATGCAGCAAAGGAATAAGTCAGACTTCACCTTGTCCCCTCCGAGTCCTGTCCCAGGTCTTAGCCCCTCCCCCAACCAAGGCCGCGGCTAACACTTCCCCCAACTCTGATACCTTTTAGCACATGGATAGGGCTTCCCTGCTTCAGGTCCCAGATCCTGATGGTGCCATCTTCATAGCCGACCACCGCTCTCTTTCCTACAGGGCCGGGAGCACAGATGAAGAGAGAAAGACAGCACACTCACACACACCCGGAGAGGGAAGTGGGGGTATGGGCGGGAGCCAGGAGAGGGAGCCAGGAGCCAACACCACCCAGGACCCCGCAGAGACCTAGTTCAGGGTGGAAAGAGGGAGCTGTCTGCTCCGGGCCTGAGGGCAGTGCTCCTGAGAACAGGCTCAGAGTGCGGGCTGAGCCTTGGGTCCAACCTCTCTCCACTCAAGAAAGGAACTTGGAGGAGCTTATCTCACCATCAGGGAGGACTCGGCCACAGGTGGCTGGGCAGTTGGGACCCTGGAAGGTCTTGCAGTCGCCACTGGGGATCTTCCACATCCATGTGTTGCCATCAGCAGTGCCCGCCAGTAGGATAGGTGCCCGAGGGTGCCACTCCATCCACTGGACAGGGAGGAAGAGTCAGCAGGGAGGCCCATCACCCCATCCCACCTAGGAACCTGTCTTCTGAGCCCCACCACGCTGCCTCTGCTCTGAGTCAGGGAGTCAGTCTGGGTAACAGGCACAGACGTTCTTGCTGTACCTTGAGAGTGCATTGGTCAGAGATGGCCTGGTCTGGTAAAGGTGGAACGAGGCCCCAAGCTCTTACCCACTACCAACCAAGGCCCTGAGCTGAATCCACTCTGATCACCTCCAGGTCTCCTGCTTCAAAGGACCAGACCTCCTCCTTGGTGTCCACCTGCCACACTTTCAAGAGGCCGCTCATGTCCCCGGTAGCCACGAGGGCAGAGTCATGGCTGAAAGCCGCACAAGTCACAGAGTCCTTATGGCCTTCAAACAAAACAAAGAAACAGAGGCATCAGGGCACCTGTGCTTGGGGGCCCATGACCTAGGTGTCTGGCCTCCTGAAAGGACCAGCTGAGAGAGGAAAACATGGATCCCAGCAGAACAGGTGCTCAGATTCACTGCCGTTTCAGGAATCAGCACACCCAGGTCTCCCAAGGAAGGCAATGCTGGCCCTCCACTCAGCTACACGGAGCCCAGGCCTGGGTCTTCCCTCCTGCCCGTTCTGCACCTCTGCCTGGAATACCCACCCCTTCCCTCGCCCCAGATACCCCTCCCTCATCAGCCCGGGTCTCCTCCTCTCAAGCTTTTCCCAGACACCCCTGCCCACTTAGTGCCTCCCTCCCCTAGATCCACACAGACTATGCTATCCTCTCCAGAGGCCTCCCTCAGGCCAGCACGGAGCTGGCACAATGGGGTCAATAAGTGGCTGTGAGCTGCGCCACGGCTGCGGCCCGCCCGGGAAGACTTCCACAGACACACGCCCCCGGCCGCCCTCACCTGCACACTCGAAGAGCAGCTCCCCGTCGCTCAGCCGCCACACGAAGGCCTTGTCATCCTCACCCCCCGTCACCGCCAGCGTGTTGGTCTTGGGGTCCAGGCTCACACAAAACACAGATGCTGTCCCAAGAGAGAGTTCCCAAGTGAGGGCTGGGCTCCCACCCGGGGTCTGTCCTTCAGGCCGGCAGGAAGCCCACCCCCTTCCGCCCAGAGAAGCACGTCTTTCCTCCTGGAGACGCAGGCTGCATCCGAGTTCCTCCTCAGCTTCAAACATCAGAGAACTGAAGAAACCCCTCCCCCAGCCCCAAATCCTTCCCCGGAGCCGATGCCCCTTGGGATGCCGCCCCCTTCACCACCCCACACCGAGGCCACGGAGCACAGGAAAGTGTGTGCGAGGCTCACAGCTCTCAGCACGGATGCCGCCAGGCTGGGTACACACAGAAGAAGGAGAACATCACGCTCCTGGCTCCTTCCTAAGAGCTGGCATTTAAGGATTATATTATATAAAACACGCTCCATGTGACTTACACCAAAGTAACGTTTTAAAGGGAAACTAAGACCCAGGGAGACTCCTACAGATCGTACATTGGTGAGGGGCAGAGGTAAGAGTGGAACACGGGTTTCTCAGCTGGCTCCAGGAGCCAAGCTCTCCCCCATCCCATCACACTGCCCGCTTCCTGTGAGCTCCTCGGGACCAGGGCCAGCAGAATGCTCGGTACACAGCCGACAGGGGATGCTCAAATGGCCTCCGGGCCTGAGCTTAGGATGGATCACCTGAGAGACCTACCTGAGTGCAGTGCAAAGGTGACCTCGCTGTCGTCCGGGCCCTCCATGCTGCCCACCACCCCTTCCTGGGGCTCCAGAACCCAGCCCTCCTCGTTGCCCTCTTCCTCTTCCTCCTCCTCCTCAAAGTCCACATCTTCCATCTCCTGGGCTAGATCATCTGCATTGGTCAGAGGGCCCAAAGGTGGGGCTTAGCAGGCGGGAAGGGGGATGGAGACCAGCGTGGGGAGGGCTGGGGTGGGTCATGTGGCCAGAGTGAGGTCAGACGAGCGAGCGGGAGCGAGAAGGTGTGCGGGCGAGGACGGGAGCCGCTGCGCACCTGGCGTCGGCCGGAGACTGGCAGGGAGGGCCGAGGGGATGCTGGGAAGGGGGTGTGTGCGCGAAGGGCCGGAGGAGGCGTCAGGGAACCCCCACCCGGCCGGGCCCGGGCCCTCGGTGTGGGGGCGGGAGGAGGGGGAAGGGCGGGGAAAGTCGGTAGGAATGACCGGTAGGGTGCAGAGGGGCGGGGGGGAAGCCGGGGTCACAGGCCAGGGGTGAGCGCTCCTGCCCCACGGCCTGCGGACCGGCCATTCTCACCCGGGTCCGGCGGGCCGGGGTCCAGCTCCACCACCTCGATGATCTCCTCGTCGCCATGGAAGCTCAGGGTCTCCAGTGGGGGGGTGTCAGCGGCAGCCCCGCTCTCCGATTCGGATTCCATGCGGCGAGCGCAGCCGATCCACTTCTCAGGGCCCAAACGCCTCCCCGAGTCAGCGCTGCGCGACGACGCGGAACTCGGGCCCCTCCTCCCCGGGAGGAAACAGGCGTCTGCCACTCTCCGGAAAGGGAGAGGGACGGCCGCCCGGCCAATCAGAAACAGGGCTGATGGCTGAACCACCAACCACAGAGCAGAGCTGGGGAAAGGGGAGGGGCGGGGCCGAGGGAACCCAAACTCCGCCCGGCCTGACTCCGCCCCTGGCAGAAGGGAAACAAGCGAGCGTGCGCGGCCGCCGGGTCTCCTGGGAGGAGGAGTTCGGCCCGGCCCGCCCCGGAGGCTTTTGGGAGTTGTAGTTTCCGGTCTGTAGGCGGGACGGGAGGAGCGGGGGAGGCCCCTGACGCAAACTACAATTCCCGGCGGGGACCGCGGTGCAGGGGGGGGTGGGATCTGAACATGGCGGCGGTGGTGGCTGCCACGGCGCTGAAGGGCCGGGGGGCGAGGAATGCCCGCGTCCTCCGGGGTAAGGAGAGGGACCCCGGGGAAGGCAGGGGTGCCAGGGGTCGCCCTCCCCTTTTTATTTCTTTTACATCCAGCCGGGTAGAGCAGGCGGTCAGGGCTGAGGCTTCCTGCTCGCACCCCTCTGCGGGTACAGCGTTGGGGGGCTGTAAGGGGTCTCAGGTCACCGGCCGCCCCCTGCCGTCGGGGCGCACACACCTCCGCACCCTCGCTGCGGGCGGGAGCCCCGGGGAAGCCCGGGCTCCGCGCTCCGGGGTCGGACACTCACCGCAGTGCAGAGGCGAGTCCCGCCGCCGGAGGCTCGGGTTCCAGCCCCGGGCAGTGAGCGGTTTGACCTTGGGCGGAGGAGCTCGTCTCTCTGGGCTTCGGGGTCCTCTCCTAGGAGACGGGGGACGGAGTGGACCCCCTTCAAGCCGCCTTTCCGCACTGACCGTTGCTGCGGTTTGAAAACATTTTCGCGGATTCCCTTCCCGCGCCTCCCGTGAGCCCCACTGCAGTCCTCCCCATCCCGCCTTCTCCGGGGATGGCAGCGGAGCCCGGGCTCCCGGCCCGGGGGGGGGGGGGGGGAGCCCGCAGTGACGTAGCGGCGGCTTCCCGAAGGTTCCCCTCGATGGCGATGTTCCCAGTGCCCTTCGGGTCCCCCCTGGCACTTGTTACGCCCACCGAACTGCGGCCCCTGCTCCGCCTCAGAGCGCAGCCTCTCCTCCCTCCCGGGCTCTCCCCTCATCCTCCCGCTGACCTTCCCGTTCTCTCTGCACAGGGATTCTCGCAGGAGCCACAGCCAACAAAGCTGCCCAGAACAGGGCCCGGGCGCTGCAAAGCCACAGCTCCCCCGAGTGCAAGGAAGAGCCGGAGCCCCTGCCTCCCGAGCTGGAGTACATCCCCAGGAAGAAGGCCAAGAACCCCATGAAAGCGGTGGGAGTCGCCTGGTGAGTTTTCACCAACCCTCCGTCCACCCATAGGCACCAGGGGAGGGCAGAGCCCAGACACTTCTCCAAATGCCAGGTGGTACGCTGAATCCAGGTTTGTGGGGATGGAATTGCTGGCTGCAAGGACTGGAATCGCAGGGGAGTGGGGCAGGGGATGGGGGGAAAAGTATGTGACATTCGAGAGTGTGGGTTTTCTGTGGAGAAAGCTGAGCTGATCTGATGTGAATTTGGTTCCCTGGTCTCATCTCTTTTGGAGAACTTGGGGTGAGACCTGATTGGGTTTTATCTTGAAGGTGTTTAACACATCATTATTCAGATTTGACTCTGACCTTAGTACATATTGCCGATCAATATTAAAGGAAAGAAGTAAATTACCAATTTTTTTCAAAAGGATCTTATCTTAGCAGAATTTTAAAAATAATTTTTAAGATCTTTGGGAGTCCTAGCTGGTTTGGCGCCATGCATAGAATGTTGACCCCTGGTCAAGGGCACACACCTCAGTCGCAGGTTCGATCCCCAGCACCCCAGCCCCAGTGCAGGTGGCAACCAATTGATATATCTCTCTCACATCGATACTTCTGTCCCTCCCACTCTCCCTAAAATTCAATGGAAAAATATCCTTGGGTGAGGATTATCCAAAGAAATAAGTTAAAGCCAATAAGTATAAGGGGGGAAAAAAAAAAAAAGGATTTTTTGAGGGAGAGAGAAATTTCAATGTGTGGGGAATCGAGCTTGCAACCTGGACATGTGCCCTGACTGGGGAATCGAACCATCAACCTTTTGGGACATGGGATGATACTCAACAAACTGAGCCACACCTGTCAGGTGGGAAATTACTTTTTTTTTTTTTTTCCAGCACCTTAGGTGTTCCAGGACTTTACAGTGTAAGGTTTTATGTCCTTGATAAGTATTCCATTTTACAGATGAGAGAGCTGAGGCTCAGAGCTGAGATACTTACCAGGTCTTTTGACTCCATGCCCTTTCTCCCCACACCAACATGCTCCCCAGTAGCAGTTACTCAGATTAAGAGGGTGTTCTGGGAGAGGATGTTGGGCAGTTTAGGCAGAGAGGACATTTGCTGAGGGTCGAAAAGGGAAAGGGGATGGGCCATCGGAGAATCATGCATAGAGTGTGTAGGCTTTCAGGTTCATGTTGAGAGGTGTCAGGTTACAGGGGAAAGGAACATAGAGGTGGGCAGAGACCCACCTACACTGGGCCTTTTGTGCCATGCCTGAGTGTTTGGACTTGGCAAGGAAGTGATGGAGAGCTGTTAAGAGATTTTAAGCGGAGTAGCAGCAGGATCTGATTTGTGTAGCGCCCTCCAGCAGTCAAGGAGGAGGCTGAATAGATACAAGAGGTATTGCAGTGTTCATGAGATCGATGAAGGTGGAATAAGATTCCCCCCTCCCCCCAGCTCCTCTGGCTCAGGCATCTCCCCACCCCTAGGGCCATCGGCTTCCCCTGTGGTATCCTCCTCTTCATCCTCACCAAGCGGGAAGTGGACAAGAACCGTTTGAAGCAGATGAAGGCTCGGCAGAACATGCGGGCAGCCAACACGGGCGAGTATGAGAGCCAGAGATTCAGGGCCTCCTCCCAGCATTCCCAGTCTCCTGAAGCTGGGTCTGGGGTGCAGACCTGAGGAACACTGCAGGGCCCCCCCCAGACTGCATTGACTGGCCTCGGAAATTCTTTGGGTTTGGCTGCAATTCTAGTCCTTGCCTCTAAGGTCCACCAGAGGGCGCAGGAAGCCCAGGCTGCTCTCAGTCCTTAACTCCCCCCACACCCTCCACCCTGCTCTCCCTCCCCTCCCTGAGAAATCAGTCAAAGGCCAATAAAGTTATTGAGTGTGTGAGTGGAAAGGAACCGGGACTGGATTTTTGAGTCCCTTGGGATGGGAGGGACAGAGGGCGGGGTGGGTTACGGTACTCATGTGAGCTGTCTCTCTGAAGCATTCAGTGTTCGGATCAATGGCTGGGGAAACCACAGAGACTTAAGCAACCAGACCCAGTCCTCAGAGCTGCTGGCCAGGAGGGTGGGGTCTTTCTCAGCTTTGAACAAGTGAATAAATAAAGAGGGCATTGAGGGTGTGAACGAAATAAAGCAGTACTCCTTGTGGCCGAGTCCAAATGATTCGGCCTCCCTGGACCTGGGTCACTTTAAAAGGTTTGTGACTAGTGATTTCTAAGGCAGGGGCCCTAAACCTGAATCTGCAGTCCACCCCCCCCCCCCAGCCCACCTGTGACATTGTACACTTACAGCTTTGTGGGGAAGAGTTTGTAGCTCTCCTGAGCTTTGTAAAGGGTCCATGATGCAAGAAAGGTCACGTTCTCTGAGCGGTCCCTGCCGGACCCAGTAACGCAAGTTGAACTTCCAGCAGCCTTTTGCATCCATCACCAGGAAGTGCTGGGCAGAGTGTGTTTGGTTATCTTAGAAGAGGTGGAAGATTGCAAGCCGGAATGCAAAGCTAGGAAGTGGATACTTTAGGCAGGACCAGACCAAAAGTGAACAAAACCAAAGCCAAATAAGGTTTTAACTGCTAAGTGTAAAACTTTATTATATTTCTAGTTATGTCTTTTTATGTGATATATTTAGGAACAAGGACTTGGGGAAGTCCTACTTATACCCTTGAGCAGATTTGATTCCCACCCCACATGATAAGAGTGACCTTACAGTGACCCTTGTTCCCTCCCCCCTTCCAGCTTGAGGCACTTGGTGTCAGGAAGAAAGCAGGAGCTGGCTAGAGAGTGGTTTGAGTCTAAAGTCCCTCAGTAGGAGTTAAGAACGGGGTGGAAGTCTCCCTGCTCTCGGGCCCTCCCTAGGTTAGCAGAAGGAAAGAACAGTATCAGACTGGCTGGGGTGCTCCCAGGCATCCCAACCCCGTCTCCTCTTCCTGGCCACACATGAGCCCACAGACCACCCCATCCCTGCCTTTGCCCCTCACTTTCTGCCTGGAGCAGCCTGAGTGTGGAAAGCCAGAGCCCTCTGACAGTTCAGAAGCACAGGGAGGCCTCCCAGGCAGCTTCGCAGAATGGGGACCCGAGGGCTGCCAATGGGCCTGCCCTGTGCCACACCACAGCCATGAGGAAGCCAGGGGAGGCGCTGCTCTGTACTGGCCCCTGTGCTTGAGTGTGCTCCCTATCCTCTCCCCCCCCCCCCAGATAAACAATATGTACATGCATCACGAGAGGAGCCGAAGCAGGGGACCACAGCACATCGCTTACACCTCCCTGAGCCAGGGAGCGCATGTGTGCCCCAGGAGCACAGGAGAATGGCCTAAGAGTCCGCAGGCGGGACAAACCTCTTTGGCTGTTAGGTGTTGAGGGAGGAAGTAGCTCCAGCGACCTAGCCCAGAGGCCTGTGGCAGAGGTGGCGGGGAACCTCATCACCTTGGAGAGTCACGTCTACATCCAGATTCCCTTTTAGTTTTAGAAGAGGCTCTTTCATCCCCCGCTCCCACCCCAGCAGTCAGGGAGAATTTGGTGCCAATAGTGGGTGGAGGGAGAAGGCACCTCTTCAGCCTAGTCCCTGCCAAGTCCATCAAGGGCAAGAGTTAGTGCCCAGTTCCTCCGGCCCCCCCAGGTGGCACCCACACATCCACAGCCACCGAGGCCATCACCAGCACAGAAAGGAAACTGGGCGTATTACTTCAGGGGAAGGAAAGGCTTCTGTGGCCCAGACCTGGGCACAGGGCCCAGCCCTCTGAGTGGGAGAGCCCGCAGTGGAGCGGAACTGGGGGCGCTCTTTAGTCGCGACTCCCCACCAGCTGCAGCACAAAGGTGAAGATGTAGATGATGTCGGTGTAGATCTGCAGGGCGCCCGTGATGTAGTCCTCTGGGCTGATGGTGTGCTTCCGGTTCCCCAGGACCAACTGGGTGTCGTAAGCCAGGAACTGCGGGAACAAGCACGAGTGAGACCCCGGGGCGCAATGCCAGAACCCGTCTCTGGTCAGCTGATCTGTACCCGGAGTGTGACTTAGGGGACACATTAACGAACAGCACAACACATGGTCTCTACCCTTAAGCAGTTCCCAGTCTAGAGAAGGAGAGACTCTCCTCAGTCTGCCTGCTGAGTGTTCTACTGCAGGCAGTGTGGGCACAAGAGGGCAGAGGTGCCCAGAAAACCAGGAAACGTCTTGACGGGAGATAGCGAAAGGCAGTTGTGGCCACATTCCCTGCCTCCCAAGTAACCTAAAGTGATGCTCCATCCACTCAGCTCCTCCCTCCCCTCCCTCAGCTCCCCTTCCCAGAGAGGCAGGCCTTACTCACCAAGGTAAAGCAAATGGCGCCCAGACCAGCGTAGACCATATGGAGCCAGTAAATCTGAGAGAGGGAACAGGGTGGTGTTAGACATCTTAGCACAGCACGACCAAAGTGAGCTGTCAGGACTTCCAAGGGGATGGATCCAGGCAGCTACCTACACGGAAGGACAGCCTCTGCCTTCCCGATCCTGCGAGAAATTAAGAATGGGACAGATCTGGCAGAGAAAACAGCCCGTCCTCCAGCGGCCATATGAAAACCAGTCTCCAAAGTGAGTGAGGGACAGAGGGGTCCATATATTTCAGGGAAAGAGTGGTGGTTGGATGGCAGCTCTGGGAGGGGCAGGCTCAGGCACGCGCTGGTCAAAGAGCCCATCATCTTGCCCCAGTCACAGTCTACCTTCAGGGCGATGCTGCTTGCAGCCAATCCGGGGGGGACAGACTAAAGAAGAGTGTGGGAGGGAAGCCCCAGCCACTTTGGTGAACATCAGAGTCAGAGAGCACCCTGGGCAGCCTGCTCAGCAGCCTTCCAGGTGCCTGTCCACTGAGGGCAGGCAGCCCTCCTGTCCTCATGCTTCCCCTCCCAGCTCTGTGCTCCCCACTGTGCCATGGGCTCCTCCCACCACCTCCTAGGACCTGTCTCAGCTGCCAGACCTCACCCACTACTTCCCATGGGATTCCGTGATGCTGTCCAAGGCTTCAGGTGCCATGGGCCCAGGCCGCCTGATGCTGAAGAGAAATGACT